GGGTACATGAACGAATACGCGGCCCTCAAAAACGAGCTCCTTGACGGCACCCGCAAGGCCGGCGGCGTGATCGGTGCATACCTACTGCTCACCGTCGGCGGCGGCCCCGCGCTGATGTGCATGCTGGGGGCGGCGGGCAGCTACGCATACTTCAGCTGGCTGTGTGCTGACGTGGACGCGGTCAAGGGGACCGACCCCGTGCCCATCTGGGAGGCGAATAAGGTGCGCGGCCGCGCCCATGCTGACGGACGCGACCCGGCCCGCTGCCGGCGCCAGCGGCTGGCTCAGGCGCCTTGATCGCGCGCAGCACGCGCGTATTGACTGGGCGCGCTTCGACGCCGCACAACAAGCTGCGGCACGCAGACGGCAAATCGCCCCGCGCCGCCCCAACCCCGCGGCCGCAGATCGAGAACCCGCTGCTGCGCAGAGCCGCGAAGCTCGCCGCGGCGTACAGAGCGAGCCTGCGGCCGCGCCTGCTCGTGCCCGTCGGCCTCGCGGCGGCGGTGGGGCTGTTCAACGCACTTGCGGAGGAGCCCATCCCCCTGCTCTACACGGGCTGCATGCTGGGCGGCTTCCTGAGCTATAAGGGGGCGCTGCTGACCAAGCTGCTGGGGGAACTGCTGCCAAAGGTGGGCGCGCGCTCGTTTCTTATCGTGCTTGAAGACCGTGCCGCGGTGAAGCACTCACGGAAGGGGGCGGGGCGGCGGGAGGGCGGGGCGAGGCGCCTCGCGGGCAGCCAGTGGGTCGAAGGGCAGGCGGGAAGCGCGGCACCCTGGGTGTGCAGCCGCCAGTTGCTACGCCCACCAGCAAACCCATGGGCACACGCGTCATGCCGCCGCGCGCCTCAACACGCAACACGCAATATGCACCCCCCTTCCTCACCTCCCCGCTTCCCTGCCTGCTGTCCCCCACCTCCGTCAAACCCCCAAACCGCCAGTCCTACAGCGCCGCGGGCGAATCGCGCCCCAAGGTGGAGTCCATAGAGGACGAACTGGACCAGTGGGGCCGCCCTAAAAAGGCGGCGCGCACGCCGATCGACGTGCTGCCGGCCGACCAACAGGATAAGGCGCGGCAGGAGCTGGGCAAGCGGTTCGACGGGGAGGGGGAGGCGCAGAGGTCGCTGCAGGAGCGTTAAGGTGTCCGTCGTTTACCGTGGGGCGGGCATGCGCGTGAAGGGGCGAAATGCGGCGGCGCCGGGCGCGAGCACGCGGCGGTGAGGGTGGCAGTCCTGCAGGTGGGCGGCGCATCGCTCGCAGCAGTGTGTGTCTCGGGGGGAGCAGCGGCGGCGAGGAGCACAGGGCAGCGTGGAGGCAAGTTTGATCGTTGAGGCGTTGTGATGGCAAGGCACGCAAGCCGGGCGGCTCCAGTTCCGGCAACCTACATTTTTGGTCCTGCCAAGCTTTTGTTGATGGCGGCATGCAGCGCATTAACTGCATGGATTTACCCCAAAACACCAGGCGAACAAACACTCCAACACTGATCTTGAGTCAGCTGCCGGCATTGAGAGAAGTGCCGGTCGTCGCGGCCTGTCTGCCTGTCTGGCCAGCCCGGGGCGCTGCAATGAGAAGGTCGAGCGCTTTGCACGCGCGGCTGTAAGGAGCTTGCCAGTGGTGGGAGGCAGCTGCCAGACGTGGGCTGGATGGATAGATACAGGTCTTACACAGGACGCCGCAAATAGCGCGGGTATACGCCGGTCAAAGGCACAACTGGGGATCAAAACGAAATAAGCAGCTGCAAACCGCTCGCCGGCGCCCTCACAACCTGCAAGTCAACACCCCTGCAAAACCAAAATACCCCAGGAGTTGCCTCCCCCGCCAATCGCTCGATGCCTGACCAGCCGGCGGGCCGCCAGCTTAGAGGCCGGCAACCGAGTTGACGTGGCCGATGCAGAGGGCGGTGGTGAGCAGGCCGAACACAAGGAAGGGCTGCGCGCTGGCCTGGTACTTGACATCGTTGGCGATGGGGTCAGGGATGAGGTACTTCGCCTGGAAGAACATCTGTGGGG